GGAGGGGACAAGGTAAGTTATAGATGTACTAGTTCATGTGTTCATGTGATAAAAAAAGAGAAGGCTTATCTTATAAATGTTAACTAGATATTGATATGCACAGTTGTGATATGATATTGATATGATTTTTCTGTTTTTTAAGTGCGCAAATGAACAAAACAAAAATAAAATTGCTCAAAAAACTGGAGACAGTTCTAAACCATGTATCAAAAACATGATTGTGATTGTAATCAGTCATCTTGGTGTGCGTGTGATCTTACCTGGTGGGCTCTCAGCAGCGCGGTGCGTCTGTACATGTAGTCTTCGGATTTGAAGACGTACACCATCTTATAGGAGTTGAGTTTGAACATGCACTCCATCTTCATGCTGTCTGTGTTCTCTTTTCTGCCGCTGTCCTTCACCTCCTTTTCCTGAGACTCATGGCTATGCTGACACTTACGGATCCGCCGCAGGTTCCTACACAAATGGAGGAGGATGATGATGACAAACCAATAGTATTTACCGCTGTGAGCTTCTCTGCTGCATGTAAACAGTCTGAATGCTGAGATTCAGTGGTTGGGAGGTTCAGGGGTCAGGGGTCACAAACACAGGGTACCTTGGCAGAAACACAGGTTTTTGAGACAGATGCTCCCTCAGGTCTGGAGATGTGAAATCAGCCGACAGATACCGCACAACGTAATCCGACCAGCACTACATGTGACCAGAACAGAGGAAATTAATTACATTTTAAATGTTTTATGAAAACAATTCTTTAAAATAAACACTGAACAGTATTATTTTAGTACCAGTGAGATGCTATCATTTATTTTATTATTATTTTTTCCATTTCCATTTTAATTAAAAGTAATTTTCTTGTCATTTTTCTTAACTAATTTTTTATTATTATTTTTTTTATGTCGATATAGTTTTTTTTTTTATGTTAGTTTAGCATAGTACAATTTAAACTAAGCTAAAGTGAGAAATATTGTTTTGGCAACTAGTTAATTAAAAAAAGTTAGTTTTATTATCTAGTTTTATTTCAGTTAACATTTATTTCAAGTAACAAAAATGTATTTTTTTTGTTGTTGTTTTAATTTCAAGTAGGGCTGCACGATAAATCGCATGCGATATTTAACGCGCAACTTATCAGTAAAGCCGGTTCTGTAATCAGCGGTAAATCTCCATCACCTGCGTGCTTTCACATTGAGCAGCATTAACTACACAGAGCCGTTGTTCACTGACGAGCTGCGCAAAACCACGTTCATATTCGTGCGATTTTTTGCACAGCTCGTCAGTGAACAACGGCTCGGTGTAGTTAATGCTGCTCAATGTGAAAGCCTGCAGGTGATGGAGATT